TGAGCGATATGGCTGGGTGTCGTAAACAGTGGCGTTCGTGCATCTCCTCAATTTCTTTCCAACCTTAGTCCACTGAACTCCATTTTCTTTTCGACTCCACTTTCCACTTTCCTTTCTTCTCTTATTCTTCATCCCAATGGGCAGCCGAAAGACAGCAACCAAAACCGGCGCACGAAAGTGCATGGTTAATGGTTGTTCAAACTGAAACTGAAAACATTTTCAAGCAGTATGACTTGCTAAGGACACCAGGGCGGTCCATTAGTTGCCATATCCACCAATGCTTACAACCGCTCAGTAGGTCTCTTGGAGACCCATCGGGAAGGCGAGAGACAAATACCCTACCTAAACGGTATGTGAATTTCATCATGCCTCGTTTCCGCGTCATCTGATGACATCCATGCGACTTGCTCCGATCAAATGTGCAGCCTGAGACAGCAACCAAAATCGACGATCAAAAGTGCAAACGTTATTGGGTGTAAACCTGAAACTGAATTGAACATGAAGACAACTGTGGGCTTTTTTTATTACACACCTAAGTGTGTTGAACAGCATATGGGGCGAACCTCAGTCACGAGGACCTACTGTTCAGTGATTGTAACCGGCAAACTAAGCCCCGGGAATTGAAGTGGTGAAGCACATAAGGCCCCGACAGGTTAGGCGTGGTATTGAACCGGACGATAGCAAGGCTGCCTACCACCAAAATTGGGTGGCGGTGGCGGGGCTCGAACCTCAGACCGTTGGGTCCAAAGCACGCCAGTAAGCGACTAAACCACTGCACCACCACCATCACGGTGAGGCGCACTTAGCTTACGTACTAGCTCTGACTCATAGGGCGCACGAACTACTGGAGCAGGTAGTTGATGATGAGCTATCCGAGTTTGCTGGTTTTGTCGCCGACCGGTCAGTCGGAGAGTGAACTGCATCAAAACTAATGCGTGGTCAGACTCAACGCAGGTGGTCCAATGGGACCTGCAATTTTGCACTGAGCCACGCCAACGGTAACTTACTGCGATGGGGTCGATTTGAGTTAACGTGCCAGTTGAACTGAAGCGCCACGCTGCCGTCCGTCGAGAG